ACAAGGTAAAGCCGTAGGAGACCCGTCACACTCGAATCTCGATCTCGGAGACAGCCATCTCGAAAACTCGAGCTCGAAAAGCATTTTTTTCATTCTCTTATTTTCGTCAGAACATACCCGCTGCTGCACCTCCACCCTCTCGGCTCTAGCTAACTACCCCTGCGCTCACGCCTCGATCTTCTTGGGCAGCAGCTGGTTCGACAGGTCCTCTCCGTGGCCTAGGCAGCCGTCCTCGCCCTTGCCCCAGCTCCAGACGGCACCACCGGCGGCGAGGGCGAGGCCGTGGCTGCTTCCAGCCGACACAGCGACGACGCGCTGGCCAGCAAAGGCCTCGACCTGCTTCGGTAGCGGCTGGCTCTGCTCGTCGCCGTGGCCAAGCTGGCCCCAGGCTCCACCGCCCCAGCTCCAGACAGCGCCGTTGGCGGTGAGGGCGAAGCTGTGCCGGCCTCCAGCCGAGACAGCGACGGCACGCTGGTCAGCCAAGGCCTCGACCTTCTTTGGCAGCAGCTGGTCCTGCCGGTCGCCGTGGCCCAGCCGGCCGTGGCCTCCATCGCCCCAGCTCCAGACGGTGCCGTCGGCGGTGAGGGCGATGCTGTGGAAGTATCCAGCCGACACAGCGATGACGCGCTGGCCAGCCAAAGCCTCGACCTTCTTCGGCAGCAGCTGGCTCTGCGTGTCGCCGTGGCCCAGCTGGCCAAAGTGTCCCTGGCCCCAGCTCCAGACGCTGCCGTCGGCGGTGATGGCGACGCTGTGCGCGGTTCCAGCCGACACGGCGACGACGCGATGGCCAGCAAAGGCCTCGACCTTCTTGGGCTGCCACTGCTGCTGCTCGTCGCCGTGGCCCAACCGGCCAAAGTATCCATAGCCCCAGCTCCAGAGAGCGCCGTCGGCGGCGAGGGCGAGGCTGTGTGTGTTCCCCGCCGAAACAGCGACGACGCGCTGGCCAGCAAAGGCCTCGATCTTCTTGGGCAGCAGCTGGTGCTGCTCGTCGCCATGGCCCAGCATGCCAAAGCCTCCACGGCCCCAGCTCCAGACGGTGCCGTCGGCGGTGCGGACGAGGCTGTGCCCGCCTCCAGCCGACACGCTCACGACACGCTCACCGCCCAGCGGGGAAGGGAGGCGGGTCGGCGTGTTGAGCCGCGTCACGCCCTCGCCGTGCCCGAGCAGCCCTGGGAAGTAGGACGGAGCCGAGCCGCACGACGAGAGCCGCCCCTCGCCGTCGATGAAGAGGCTGTGCTGAAGGCCTGCCGCCGCCCTCGCCGGCGGGTTGGACTCACACAGCAGCGCAGAACAGCACAGCCACCGCACGGCGCAGCCCTCGTCCTCTGGCTGCGCCGGCAGCTCGAAGCCGCGCTCTCGCGCCCACAAGCGGATGCCCTCCAGCGCAAGCGAGGCGTGGAAGAGCAGCGAGACGGCCGCGACGCGAGCGATGTCGGCGGGGCTGTCGAAGCGGGAGATGACGCGCGCGAGAAGCTCAGGGGGCAGGTCGGTGAGGGGGCAGTGTGCGGCGGCGGCGGCGGCGGAGGCGAGGCGGCGCGAGCGGCGGCGCGGCGGGGACATCGCGACGAAAAGAATTTTCTGCGGTTCTTTTCCACAAATGCTAGCACCTTTGAACGTGTGGGCGGCAGCTGTCTGTTTACAGGCGCTGGCCGCCCGCGCGCGCGCCGGACCGGCTCCGGCACGTCCGGCGCTGGGCGGCGCGCGTCCACACTGCGCGTCGCGCAAAAGGCGAGCGCTCGCCGCCGCTACGGCGGCGGCGGCGGCCGGCGGCCGACGGCCGACGGCCGACGGCCGACGGCAGACGGCAGACGGCATACGGCCTAGGGCTCGGCTGGGCGCGCACGCGCACGCGCGGGCGTCGCGCGCCACGCGTCGCTCCGCGAGGGCGCGCGCCAACCGCGATTCGAACCGGGGCCAAAAGGCGCCTGGAGCGACCGCGGTCCGGTCGCGCCACCGCGGCTGCGGGGCTGATAGAGCAGGCCGGCTGCGGCTCCTGATGTACCTCCGCTTTTGGGTGGCGGTCGCGCGCTGCCGACGGCGCTCGCCGGCGCTACGGCGCTCGCGGCGCGCTCGTGGCGTTCAGGGCGGCTCGCACACGCACACGCACACGCACACACACACACACACACACACACACACACACACACACACACACACACACACACACACACACACACATGCACATGCACAGACACACAGCCCCTTCCCCTCCCCCCTCAAGGGCGAGGACACGCACAGGCCGCACCTCTAGTGAGGCCCGCATAGTATGTGGGAGACTCGTGCCGCCGCCCCTGCCACCCCTGTGTCAGTGTGCCTGTGGTAGGAGAGACTGCCAGCGACAAGCTGGAGGCAGGTCGCTAGACTGAGATGAGACCGCCAGTGGATGTGGGAGTCCACCGCGCACCGCGCTGCGAGCCTGTCGTGTCCCTTGTCAGGAGCAGGAGAGCCCCACCTGTCCCCCTGATCGTTCTTCCAAAATCCTGCTCGTGCAGGTGGGGACCCTGTCCTCGTCCCATCCCTCGTTTGGCGTGTCTGTTTTCTTTCTTTCTTTTCTTTCTTTCTTCGCTAGCACCTGTCCTATACGAGAGAGGAATCCCTGGGACCCTGTCGTGTGGGTAAACCCTGCCCAGCCCCCCTCCGTGTCGCGATGCGCTCCCCGCTCCCGTTCCCCTGTGTCCCTGATCGTCCTTGCAAGATCCTGCTCGTGCAGGTGGGGACCCTGTCCTTCTCCCACCCCTCGTTTGGCGTGCCCGTTTTATTTATTTATTTATGCTAGCACGCGCCAGTTCGCACCTGTGTCGAGCCTGTCTGCTGTGAGAGAGAGCGTGTCCAAATTCTTTTCCACAAATGTACTTTACCCTAGGGAAAGAATTTTAGAGCACAGCACTGTGGCCATCCCACCGTTTGGGTGTTTATTTTCTTTCTTCCTTTCCTGGGCGCGGGACTGGCCGCACTGGCAATCAATATTCCAATAAAAGGAACAGAATTAACGCGGACCGCGCGGTTCGCGGCACTAACACAGGAGAAGAAGAAATCACGTCTCGCTTCTTGTTTCTTCCTTTCTCTGCCGGCCCGCAGTGCGCGCAGCGACGGGAGCTCAGGCTTGTCCCTCGAGGTTTGTCCTCAAGGCGGCTTGTGGCCTGTGCTCAGGCAACTTTTCTCACATTTCTATCACACCCCCGGCGGCCCGCCCTGCATACACCGAAAGGTGAGGTTGTAGCGCGCGCCCTCCCCATCCGCGGTGCTGCCCTGCAGCAGCGCGTGCGCGTACTCGCGGTTGCACTCGGCGGTCATCACGAGGAGAGAGCCGTGCGAGAGGCGGAGCCCGTACTGCGGCTGCTTGTCCTTGTACGCGTCGGGGCAGAACGCGAAGACGCGCGACGCGCCGAGCGAGATGGAGGCGACGGGCGTATCGTAGACCTGCCCCAGGACGGAAGGGGTGGGGACGCGCCACGGTCTCTAATGAGGTGTCCATTCGTCTAGACCTGCCCCGCGTCGCTCGAGCCCTGCGCCTCCGCCCTGTCGCGGTGCCACGAGAGGCACGTGTCGCGACCGGCGTACCTAAGGTAAGGGAAGAGTGAGGTGAACTCCCTCCACACGATAGCAAGGACCAAGCTGTCCCTCTGTCTCCACGTCCTTCAACAAGAGCCCGGCGGCATGGCAAGTGCAATGCCCAGTGCGCGTGGGTGAGCGCGCCTCTGCACGAGGACGTAGTTGAACCTGTGCGGTCTCCCCTTCAGCTCCCGCTCCGAGAGCTGCGCCGCGAGCCTTCGCAGCAGCCGGCAGAGCTGCGCCTGAGGGGGAGGGGGAGGCAAGCGGACAGTGATCCTCTCGAGTGGGGCAGGGGCGGGGGCTCCAGCCCAGCCGCGCCTCTTCCTCAGGCCGGCCCGCGACGCCCTCCGACCACAGCGTCGGCTTCGTCACGTACCGCACCCTGCCGTACCGGTACGTCAAGCCCTCCGCCTCGGCGAACGCCAGGCGCGAGGGCGAGCTGGGCGGGCGCATGCCGCCGAACGCGTTGGGGACCGTCGCGGGTGCTTGTACCGAGTCATCGAAGCGCGCCGAGTCGTCGAAGGGCACGACGTCGACGCCATCGAGGAGGCGCGTGAGTGTCGAGGCGAGGTCGGCGGGAACGTACTCGGGCGTGAATGCGGCCAGGCTGCACGGCTTGCTGTGTTCGTTCGGCGTGATGTTGCGGCCCCCGTAGGAGACCGTGCCGCCATGCAGGTGTCGCGCAGTCAGGTACCAGCGGCCCTCGCCCAACGGCAGCTCCCACGGCGGGCAAAGCGCCCGCCCGCCGTCGTCGTCAGCAGACGGCCCTGGCGCGGACGGCGGCTCGTTGCGCCGCCGCTTGCCTCCACTCCCCTCGCGAGCAGGCGGGAGATGGTCCGAGCTCGGAGGTGCGAGGGCCTCTAGAGCGCCGCGTAGCTCGCGTGGTCCGCACGCGGCAGCGGATGCCAGGCGTTGCGCGTCCTGAGAGAAGCTCTGCCACGTGTGCGGCGGGTTGCACTTCCACTCGCAGACATTCCGCCACGGCTTGAGGCCCTCGTCCACTCGCTGCTTGTCCACCCACTCCGTCTTGGCTGCAGCCTCGTAGAAGCGACCACCGGGCGTGAGCCGCGCCGCGAGCTGCCGCAGCGGCTCCGTGCCGGCCGCGCGCTCGTACTTGATCAGCGTGTCCCAAGCAAACCACACATAGGCAACGTCGTGGGCGGCATCCGCCGCGTGCTCCACGAGCAGGACCAGCTTCACGCCGCTGGTCACGTCGGAACCGACGAGCGAGTCCGCATCGCGCACGCTGAGAAGCTCGAGAAGCGGTGCGGCCGGCAGCGCCGCCGCGGCCGGACCGTGCACAACAAAGATGACGGAGCCGTCCCTTTTCTGACGGTCGAGTACGATGTGATCGCCCGCGTCGAGCTGCATTGCCGTGCCATTTGGAAGCACGCTCAGCACGCCGTTGGCGCGTCGCACCTGCGTCGGATTTGAGCCCACGGCCGTGACGCTCAGCGTCTCCGCGTCATCCACCGAAAGCGACGCTTGCGTGCGTGAGACGAACTGGTACGGCTGCTCGCGAGAGACGTGCGCGCCCAGACTCGATCGACCGAGCGAGCGCGGCGCGTCAGCGCCCACTTGAACAGTGACTGGCGGATCGGAGCACACGAGGCGCCACATCGTCGGCGATAGCGGATCGAGCAGCGTGGTACGTCCGGTACAACCGACCGGGCAGCCGGGCAGCCGCCAGGGTGGGAAAGGTGAATTCTTTGACCGGGGGCTGAAATTCAGGTACTCTTTGCAGCGCCACCCAGTGACACATCACACATCAGGGCTGGGCTAGCCTTGAGAACGGGGTGATGGCTATCCCGGCGACTGGGGGGCCTGGGGCGAGGGGGGTGCGCATCGATGGGAGGGAGCGAGGGAGGCTGACATCTCGATCGATGCCCCCGGAAGAATGGCGGGACCCCCTCGAGTTTGTGGTGCGGAGGACCGCTCGGGTGGCCCGGCAGCTCACGACGATGCAGCCCCGCAAAAGCGGCGGGTGGTGGGGGCGCGGTTGCGGAAATGGGCGGGATACTCGAGGCAACCGTGTCCGTGGCGCGGGGGCGGCGCCACGAACCGGCTCGCGACGCCGAGGCAGCGACGCGCCGAGAGAGGGTGACGAGGAGGGCGGCGGAGGCCCCGGCGCCGCAGACGGAAGACGCCGTCTCCACCTGAGGGGGACCGGGTGAGAGGGGAGGCGGCGCGGCTACTGCGCAGCCTACGACCTGGGGTAGAGCGACGGGAGGAAGAAGCGGGGCCGTCGGCGGATCCGGACCCTGGCCCCCCCCCTTCTCGAGGGGAGACGAGAGCTAGGCCCCCCCCCGGTGCCTTGCCCCACAGGCAAAAGACTGCCGCCAAGCTGGCGCAGCTCTGCTTCACTTGCATTGGCTTCCCTCTGGGGCTGCTCCTCGGCTTCAGCTTTGGGCTAGGCGTTCAGGGATTTGTGGCAGGGCAAGCTGCAGGTCTGGCGGGGCTTGCACAGGGGCGAGGGGGGGTCGTCAGACCGGCAAGAGCGAACAATGATTCTCTCCCGCTTCCTCTGCGCAGGACGGGTATTATACACCGCTGCGGTCATGTCCAACGTTGCCCACAGATTGGTCCACTCGAAAGAAAAAAGAAGAAAGAGACCTGTCGCTACACTGGCCAAGCACGGCTCTCACATAAACGCACAACCCCGGGCCCCGAAATCGCACAGCTCATTTTCACCCACAGAAAAAGAATTTGCACGCCGGATTAGAAAAAGAATTTTACAACAAAACTCCCTCGCACAACACTGGGCACGGGACTGGCGCGCACTGGCACTAACATAGAAACAGAATTTTCGTGTTCATCGGGCCGTATATACGTCTGTAGTATAGCGGTCGTGTAACTACAGTATATGCTCAGAGGACCACATAGCGAAACACTCCCCAGAGGAGTTGTTTGTTTGGCTTTTCTCTATCTAATTCACTGTGTCCGCCAGCTTACGATAACAGTGCGTGGCAGCTCCATCCTGGTTCACGGGCCTCGTCGAAACCTGTGGGCGGCCCTGCACCGCAAGGGCCCCAGTCATCAAAGCCCCATTCGTTTTTGATATCACGGCAACGGCGCCTAGTCTGTGCCATGCATCTAGTGTGCACCCAATTATCACCCATGATCATGTCATAGCCAGCTGGCCCATGCGTGATGCCGGTGCACTCAGCCACGCCCTCGCACGCGGCCTTGGCATCGCCAAGAGCGACGGCGCACGCGGCGATTGAGCGGCGGTTGTACAGACGCTCACTCGCCGGCCAGCTGCCGCCTGCATTTGCACAGCTGCATACTCCACTGTGCGTGCCTGTCACATCCGCCCATCGCTTCTCAGAAAGTGGAGAACTCGATGGCGGCGGGGATTTGCGATTGTTGCAGCCGTGCCTTGTGAGAGCAAACAAAGCGGCTGGCGAGATGGCCTCAAAACTGGGCGGCCCACCCAGGTGAAGAGAACACACCGTTGTACCTTGGAGGGGTTCGGAAGAGCCCCAGTGTGGAGGAGAAAAAGGCGTACCCAACCATCGCTCCTCTGTAGCTGAGAACCTCTCTCTCTCAATTGTGCTGACCAACAGCGTGATGCCACTTGGAGTTGTGACCAAACCAACCAAATCAGTGATGCGCCATCCGCAGCGGTTTGTGCGCGCCGTCTCAAGGACCACACGCGCGACTTTGGCACCAGGACCGTCACTAGCTCGGACCATAAAGATCGTGTTGACGTCCGAAACTTGTTGGCAATGAACCTGCGAGCAACCATCAGCTGGCGCGGCGTATCGAAACGAACCACTTTCGTTAGTTTTAAGCTGTCCCTTCCCGTAGAAATAAATGTCGCCGCGAATATGGTCGACCGACAGTCGTGAAAACGCGAGCCAGTCGTGGTATTTTGCTGGCAGCGTCGCCACCGGAGTGAGGATGTTTGATGTGAGTTCAAGCTTGAGGAGGACGGGCTGACGGCATCCTGCCATAAGCCAGAGATATTGGCCATCGGCCGAAACGGCCATATCAAACAGGAAACGGCATCCGCGTCGATACTCGTTCCCATTGCGCATGATGTCGAGACAGCACAAGCCGCTGGGCGCATTCGGCTTGAAGCCTCCACACTGCCCGTCGCATCCCAGCACTCCAAACAACCCGCAACAAGAGCGGCCGAGGGTCACTGGGACTCCTCGCGAGGTCGCCCCATCGACAATTTTGGCGTCTACAACCTCTTGAATAGGAGTCGATGTCGAGCCACACTACATGCATCCGTCCGCCGGGGTCGTGCGGCGACACCCCTCGAACGTAGTCTTTAACGGGACACCAGGCCACCCGCAGCTTCCGTTGGTAACGGGATAGTACACCTCGTTAGGGGGAGGAGGAGGGGCAGGATGAGGCGGCGGCGGAGGAGGAGCATCAAAGAGGAGCAATCGTCCGGTTGCAGCATCGCTCGATGATTCCAGCTGGACATGCGCCATACGCCGGTGCCGGTGCAATGCCGTACCACTGGCGTTGAATGAGTAGATCTTTTCAAAGCCTCCACCAGAACCTGAAGTCTTGATCGCAAAGTAAATCTGATCATGAACCGGGTTGTACAAGACATGGCTCACCCGCCCTTGAATCCTTGGGGCCATGCCACCGCCCCCGGTAAATGTCTGCGTGTAAAGTTGTTCAAAACGGCCCGGAGTTTCATACGGTGGTGGCGGATCGGGAGGGGGAGGCGGCAGAAGGGGAGTGCCGGGCTGGTGCGGCGGTGATGGAGGCGGTCGGCAGCGGGGCCATCGGCGCCCGCTGCAAGGCGGAAGCGGCGGCCATGGTGGAGGTGGCGGCGGCGGGAGGTCTACGGCTGCGATGAGCACCTGTGCTCCGGAGGTCAGGAGCAGAATCTCAACACCTTGGATTGTAACGGCGGTCCAGCCGCCAGCCCGGGTGATTGATGGCACGCAAAATCTCTTCCGATCACCTTCCCATTCGCCGTCTGGCTGCTGGCGGTACACTGTGACTTCGATTGTGTCGTAGCGGGAATGCCCTTCACTAGTAGGTCCTGCTCCACAACGAGCATCCTGGAAGTCAATTGCCACGATGTGGTCGCCGGCACGCTTGATCGATGCCCGACCTGCCGCATCAAATTGGAAGAGGGCACGAAAGGAAAGTTCAGTTGGCGAAAGAGGAGGGTGAGGTGGTTTGTGCGGATCGGGCGCAGACGGGGCTGGCAGAGGTGGCATGGACGGATCCGGCGCAGCCGAGCGTGGCAGAGAAAGCTGGAAGAGTGCAAACGTCGTAAAGATTGCAAACGCAGCACAGGCGGCAACGACGCGCCATCCCACGCGCAAGAGCACGCCACGAACGCGTGAGCCTTCAATCTCAGAAGGATTGGCGGCCTCGTTTGCCGCCACCGCCTCCTCTGATCGCTCTGAAGGCTCTGACGTCAGGTTGGCCAGCTCCTCCAGTCTCGCATCGTGTCCCATCGTGAACAGTCGTGATGCGTATCTCTGCCTCATCGTGGCCAAGGCAGATCGAGAAAAAGAATTTGCTCGCGGAATTTACCATAGCGGTCTCTCACATATTCAAACAGCGCCTGACGCATGGCGTTCAGGCGGCACTTCTCTCGCGTCGGCTCCGCCGAGCGCTGCACAGAGACCATCTTCACTGACCACCAACGACAGGTGTGCGACTACGCGCTCGTCTACGCGGAGAAGAAGAACGACGGCGAAGCGCCGTACTCGGTCTCCTTCACCGCGACGCAGAGCGGCGACGTCATCGTACAGCTGCACCCGCACTCGCAGCTCGAGCGCGCTGTGCGCCAGGAGCGGCAGGCGCAGGCCACGGAGCCGCCTGCGAGCGCGAGCCCTGCGGCGCCGCCCGCCCCTGCCGCCGCGCCGCCAGCCGCGGAGCCGGCGCCCAAGACGTACGCCGCCGCAGCCGCATCGCAGCCGCAGGGTGCCACCGCGGGTGGCCAGCCCGCCGCGCCTGCGGGCCCGGCCGCCGCCGCGCGCGTGCCGCCGCCGCCCAGCGGCGGCGGAGTGCGCGGCTGCTCCTTCACTGTCCCTAACCCGGGCAGGAAGCGTGGGCAGCAGCAGCGCGGCAAGGGCCGCGGTGCCAGGGGCCGTGCCGATGCTGGACCCCGTCTCGTTGACAAGAACGCGCTGTCCGCGCGCGGCAGCGGGCCCTCGCGCCAGTCGCGCTCGCCGTCGCCCGACTCTCCGCCCGCCAAGCGGGCCGCCTCCGCTGACTCGTCCGGCTATGAAACCGATACGCCGGACGAGGTGCAGCAGGAGGCGGTCCGCAGGGTATGCGGCGCGCTCGGCATGAGGGAGCAGTTTGAGGCGGCGATGGCGGCGGGCGAGCTGCTCGAGATGCTCGAGAGCTTGCCGCGAGGGGCGGTCGAGGCCTCTGTCCGACAGATGCGGGGTTACAACCGCACGGGCGAGTGGCCAGAGCCCATTCTCACCAGCCCTGCCCCGCAGCGCGGCCGCTCGCCAAGCCCCGTCGATGAGTGGTCAGATGGTTAGTGCCCGAGAGCGAGGGGTCCGGGGGGGAGCACAAACATAGGACGCCCAGCCTTGCCCTCGTGCCGCCGAGTGCATATCCTATGCGAGAGAGATCCCCTGTGCCCTGTGCCCAGCCCTCTCCGCGCGGCGATGCGCCCTCCC